AAGAAATATGCTGGTGGAACAGGTAAGTCTTAATATTGTTAGCGTGGTTATTGATTGACAATATGAAACAAACTTAACTGGTTTTTCTGAGGCTTGGTACGATTTTCGTGTTTGTAAACTCAAGGAAGTAAGTAGTGTGGTGGCTCTCCATCGTGAATGAATACACATATTTTCCTTATATGAGCGCATTCATTAAAAGAAACATCGTTCTTCGAAGTTTTCCGTGTGAGTAAATAGTAAAAACTTTACCGTTCAACCTAATTTTTTTTTTTTTTTTTTTACGTGGATTAACCAACCCAGGCACAGTCACTGACCCACGTCGGGGCCTGTAATAATAATTCTTTAGTACTATTAATAAAAATACCTCTTTATTAATAATAATATTAATAATAAATAACCATAAATACCGAAATGAAATCACAAAAAGTGAGAATCAATATACAGTATGTATGTTGTGTTGTTGATATTACGAGAAACAATTGCGACCCTGCAATTGTGTGTAAATGACACATTTAGTCAGATCAGCAACCTTGGACTTGCTCCTAATTTTCGTGATGCCATATGGCAGCAGGGTCTACCATTAGACAACACATTATGCTTCCAATATCTTCCCACCCGGTAGTCAGGGAAGTCTGTACAACTGTTAATAATTTCCCCACAACTTTTGGATTTTCTTATTATACCTATCATATAGATTACACAATTTTAAGACACACTTGTCATTGTGTCGCAACTGACGTGGAACAGAGATAGTTAATATGAGTTTGTGTGGCAGGGCGGCGGAGTCCTCCCGTTGGTAAAGGAAGCTAGGTTAGGTAGGTTTGGTTACTGTTATAAACTACATATTAATAATTACGTTATTTCCGACGGTAATGAAGGTCATAATGTATAAGTTGCCATAGAATTCCTTTTTTTATGTCGTTAATTTTCATTCATCAATAGATTTATATTCATATTTGGTATACATTAATATGTAAATTTTACTTTGTTAGGCTTATAGGCAAGGATGTTCTATCTTTTGAGTTTACAACTAATACAGGTTGAAAATTTCTGGCTGCGACTATTTTTTTTGACTTATTTTACCATTTATTGTTTGTTACATTAAATCTAATTAACTTTTGACATAGATAAAGGAGAATTTTTGTGGCTACAGCTACAATGATAGGTTAGGTTATAATGTTTGGAACTATTTCAGTAGATTCCTTTGTAACTATGATTTCTGCCAAATATAACATAGTTAGCATATAGTGTATGTAACCACAGCTCACAGTAAGACAGTTATTATTTATATTTTCTCTTCAAGGTGGCGGCCCCCAAATTGAAATTACATACACTGCAATTGAAGAAGCAATTCTTCAACTATTAGATCCAACCTCTATACATGGGATTCCAGGGGATGTTGAAAGTGAAGAACCTAGTAATGGTAATTCAGTCAAAATACTTTTCCAACCTCCTGATATATTTTGTTTTTTTCTGCCCTTGTTTTTATTTAAAAAAAAACTTTTGGAGACATTTTTTCACATCTTGATTTGGAAATACTGTACACTATACTGATTTTTTTATATAATTTTGAAAAATAACAACACTAGTAAGTTGGTTTCATTTCTAGCTTGTTTATTGCTTCCCTAATTTATATATTAAATGTTTTTATAACTCGTATGTTAATGGACAAAATTGAGAAGTGCAAATATAAGAAATTTAACGCCTAGTTGATATTTAGATTTAAAAATATTTTAAACAAATATATTTAGATGGTCAACACTATTTTTCAAACCATTATTTTTCCTAAAAGCTTTTGTATATTTGGAAATACAGTGTAATATTTTAATTATACTCTTAACATAGACTTCAATCAACCTATTATACTACATTTCTTTCCAGAAGAAGAAAGAGAACCAACCCCCAGACCCTCAGGAGCTAGGTTTACAGCTACCGGTAGTTGTTTCCGAGAGGAATTTATGTTTCGGCCCGTTCAAGAGAAAGATGATTCTATAACCCGCATTCTGAATGAGGATATACAGGAACATGATATCACAGTACCCATTGTGCATTTAGAACCTGAAACTTCAGCACCTACAAACATTCCTGGATTTTCATCATCCGGAACATATGAGGTAGAAACATGTAGTTCAAGCAATACTCGTCAACCTATTGCTGCCACCAAGGAACAGCGAAGTAGGTCTAGTACCCCTTCTGCCACAGCTGTTAGGTCAACTGTAACTGGTGATTACACTGATGAAATGGATTCATCTCCAATGCCAAGTACGAACAGTAGTGGCAGGAGGCCACGAACCTCTTCTGCCCGAAAAGATGAAGATCTTCTTCGAGAGATGCTTCGTGTTCAAACACAAATGAGGGACAGTTTTTTACAGCTTGTAGCTCACACAGAGTGCATTGCATCTGCAATGCTATGCATTGCAAAAGTTATGCAGTCGAAAAATCCTATCCAATGATGCTGTGTTTATGGTATGTGTATATGTAGTTGTTTACTTAGGTAAGTCCTTTACTTTTGGTAAATGTGATAATAGCGTAGTTGAAAAGTCATCAAACACTTATTATAAATTTTCCTTTGAGTGATTGTTATGAAGGAAGATCGCATGTTAAAAAATTGTGTAACTTTCACTTGCAGCCTATACTAGTCATGAAAATGTAACAGGAATATTTAGCTCTCCATAAGTTAATTAAAATCACGAAGTTAAGCGAAAGACACACATTTGTCAACTAATAACATGGGTTGCAGTGCTACTACGGGTAATGTTTACCCAGGTTTTGGGTAAAAGTTCCTACCACACTCAAAATTATATGTTTGAAAAGAGGCTCATGTACTTATTTTTATTTTTTAAAGGTTCCTTTATTTTGTAAGACGTAGTCAATTTCCAGTTCAACGAGTTTTATTTATTAGTTTGTAGTTTGCGAAGTATGATTCAAGTAGGTTGAAACAGAAATAATGGTGCAAATTCACCAACAGCCTACTGTAATCGCTGCTATTTAACACACATTAGTCTCCAAAGCGCAAGTTGTTGCATTGGTTCTTTCATAAGGATGTGCTGTCTCATGTTACATTTTGTAGCTTAACAAGCAAAGAGTACTGTATTCTATTTTTTCTTTATTACTTGTAGTAGTACAGTATTGGGTTATAAGTTTCTTTTAATTTACGGGTATTGATGCAGGTAATTCTAGACATATGAAAATTATACTGTATTTCATTCTTAAATCTAAAAAATGGCAACAAATAACAGTAGTTGTATTATTATTTCACAACGATGTGGTGACCCATGTCAAATTGTGTACGGTAGTTTAAGATGCAAACAGTAGCAATATTTTTTTTTTTTTTCAATTTCTCAAATATTTTTAATATAAGGGATTTTTTGTTTCACAAACTTTCGTGCCTTTGGTATTTAGTAGTATTAAAAGTATACTGTATTGGAATCAAATTTGCTCAAGGATATAGTACATATATTATTAAGGTAAAAGAAAGCCATTTAATTTCTATAAAGAAGTTTATTTTTTTATGTACAGAATATTGAAAATAAAAGTTAAATCAATGTACGCTTTATTCGCATTACCTCTGTATACTGCACTAAAAAGTACTATTTAAACATAGAGGAAAATTGTATTGGTGAATTGATATTTGATTTTAATTCATCAAGTAAACCAATTACGGACTACATTGGCTCGGACTGCTTGGCCTGTCCCTGCTACAGCTTCAGCTGTATCACTAAGTACATGTTGAAAGGTTCCATTGGCATAAAATCTTAAGGCAACTAACACTTGCGTGTGTATGGGAACAGCATGAGATCTTCTCGTTCTACGCCTTAAAAATGGATCTAAATCTTAACACAGTCTTAGAATTTCACATCGAGGAAACCTATATCTAATTTGATTTTCATCGCTTATATTTTTGGGATCCAAAGGGTCCCGATACCTTCGTTCACGTCGTAAAGCTCGATCATGCAGATAAGCTACAACAAGATCCATTGCAGGGTAACTGGAAAATGAGGTCCAAGTGTTACTGGATCAATCTGCAGGACAAAAAATTATGCAATGGTTTAGAAGTTTGTTACAGTATTGTTTTTATGTTGATACTAACTAATTCAAAGTTTTATCATTAGGCCTAGAATTGAAGGGTTATGCCTGTGAAAAACAAAAATTACAGCCTTAAGGTTTTGCCTGGCTCTTAGGGGTAAAATACTGAAAAATGCACAACGCGTTAAAATCTCTGTATTCATTTAAAATTGAAAAAAATTGTTCATTATTCAAGTAAATAAGGGTGTTAAAAGCATTTAAAAGACATCCTCTTGCCTCAAAGTCTGTCACATACTCGCATTTGAAACTGATTTCTGGTAGGAACAGCAGCCTTCTCCGTTAGCCGGAATCCTTGAAACCCGGAACTTTCTGAAAGCCGTAATTGAAATTTTATCTAAAATTAATTCCCAAAGCATGATTTTGCAAGAAACTTACGGCTTAGGTAAATGACTTTCAGAGAGGCAAATTTTCCTGAAAACTATGAGGAAAGTTTCCCAGATAACCGAGAAAAGTCCGGAGATGGGGGATATATTTCCGGGTTCGAGAGATGATGTAATGGGCAATTGCAGGAACTACCGAGAAAATTTTTCCATTACCATAAACATTCTGGGGATGAGGGATATTTTCTTGATTTGTGATAACTGTCTCGTTAACGGGAAAACACTCATTCATTCACGGTAGTGCTCTTCACCAATTGTTCCGGCTAACAGAGATCTCACAGTATTTGGTGTTTTACCCCACTAGAATTTAGGTAAATAATCCCCTTGCATAATGTTAGCCTGTGACAAGACACATAAGCTATACTAAGATAGCCTTATTCTGGGCAAATTCAAATAAATTGGTTAATGATAGTATAGCCTTGCCTAACCTAAATGACAAATCACTTCTCTTAAATTACTCATTTAGCCTAGACCCGAGTGTTTTCCTTTCAATGTTGGGAATATTTGGTCTGAATTGTCTTCAAGTTCATACAAAAAACAACAATTTAAAACCTGAAAATATATCGGATTAGCCGAAATTTTCTTAAATTAATACTCTACCTATGATAATGTTCAAGGAAAGTCTGGAACTAGGCCTAAGGTAGCTGCTAGACAAAGTGTCTCACAGACCCTAGTGTTTTCCTTTCAATGTTGGGAATATTTGGTCTGAATTGTCTTCAAGTTCATACAAAAAACAACAATTTAAAACCTGAAAATATATCGGATTAGCCGAAATTTTCTTAAATTAATACTCTACCTATGATAATGTTCAAGGAAAGTCTGGAACTAGGCCTAAGGTAGCTGCTAGACAAAGTGTCTCACTGACGGCCTGACGCTCACCAAAAAACCATGTACACATTCTCTAACCTAACATACCATAACATAACATAACATAACCAAACCAAACCTATCTAACCTATACCCTATTAGTATAATTTCTTATTTAAATAATCCTCATGTTCTAACTAAATTAAGTAGGCCCCATGTTTAAACATTTATTTGCCTAAGACTGAAAAAGCAGTTATATAGGCACCTATTAATCAAGTTAATTGCAATCCATATTTTACACCTAATATCATTTAATTTTCGCTAACCTATGGAAATTTATAGCCTTTCATGTTATCATAAGCCATACACATAAGAAAATAGGCTCAGGCTATTGGTTGAATATTAGAAAAACAAGGCGAAGTCTTGGCAGGAATGTTCACTTGACCTCATATTTGCCTTTCATTACTGAGGGATATTTACGGCTATACAACATTAATAAGTTCTATCTGCAAGTTTACTCAGTCATAAAACATATTTTTACCCTAAGTGTGAACAATACAAACCTTCTATTTTGGTAAGAAATACTTTATAATGTGTAAGAAGACAAAAGATGCGTCTCTTCCAAACTGCGACAAATACAAACACTCAAGCAGCTTATTATACAACAAAAAAGTTACCAAAAAGACAAAGTGAAATATTATATTTCAGTATGTTGATGTACAAAACATTTTCTTCTTTATTCTATGATAAAACAAGTCTAACAAGCATTATTACAACATATATTATTATTATTTTCTATACAATCGGGAATTAGTCACTACTACATCCGGGTTGAGAGTGTTACACAACCTCGGGAGCTGGTGTAAGTTACTTGCGTTAACTTACGGAGTTCGATGTCAAATATTGGTTTTGAGTATACCATCTGTGTTTTGAGTATGCCATCTGTGTTTTGAGTATACCGATCTGAGACTGTAAGTCCAGTTACGGGGTAAACAAAGACATACAGTCCCATAAATGTTTTTGAGTATCCGGCCCCTGATCGATTATAACAAAGTCCCTTGGTCGAGTATAGCAAAGGGCCCTCATCGAGTAAGACAAAGTCCCCTGATCGAGTATAACAAAGTCCCCTGATCGAGTATAACAAAGTCCCCAGATCGAGCATAACAAAGTCCCCTGATCGAGTATAACAAAGTCCCCTGATCGAGTATAACAAAGTCCTCTGAACGAGTATAACAAAGTCCCCTGATCGAGTATAACAAAGTCCTCTGGTCGAGTAAAAAAAGTGCCATGATCGCGTATAACATAGTCCCCTGGTCTATTATATCAAAGTCCCCTAATCGAGTATAACAAAGTCACCTGGTCGAGTATAGCAAAGTCTCCTGATCGGGTATAACAAAGTACCCTGATGGAGTATAACATATCCCCTGATGGAGTATAACAAAGTCCTATGGTCGAGTATAAAACAGTCCTCTGATCGAGTATAACAAAGGCCCCTCATCGAGTATAACAAAGTCTATTGGTCAAGTATAAAAAGTCCCCTGGTCGAGTATATCAATGTCCCCTGATCGAGTATAACAAAGTCCCCTGGTCGAGTATAGCAAAGTCCCCTGATCGAGTATAACAAAGCCTCCTCATTGGGAATAACAAAGTCCCCTGATCGTGTATGACAAAGCCTCCTGCTCGAGTATAAGAAAGTCCCCTGATCGAGTATAACAAAATCCGTTGATCTAGTATAACAAAGGCCCCTCATCGAGTATAACAAAGGCCCTTCATCGAGTATAACAAAGTCCCCTGATCGAGTATTTCAAAGCCGCTTATTCGAGTATAACAAAGCTCCTCGTCGAGGTTAACAAAGTCCCCCTTTCGAGTCTAACAAAGTCCCCTTATCGAGTATAACAAAGTCTGTTGATTGAGTATAATAAAGTTCCCTGGTCCAGTATAACAAAGTCCCCTAATCGAGTATAACACATCCCCTGATCGACTATAACAAAGTCTAATGGCCCAGTATAACAAAGTCCCCCGATCGGGCATAACAAAGTCCCCTGATACTAGTATAACAAAGTCCTATGGTCGAGTATAAAAAAGTCCCCTGATCGAGTATAAAAAAGTCCCCTGGCCCAGTAAAACAAAGTCCACATATCGAGCATAACAAAGTCCCCTGATCGATTATAACAAAGTCCCATGGTCGCTTATAGCAAAGGGCCCTGGTCGAGTAAGACAAAGTCCCCTGATCGAGTATAACAAAGTCCCCTGATCGATAATAACAAAGCCCCCTGGACGAGTATAACAAAGTCCCCTGATCGAGTATAACAAAGTCCCCTGCTCGAGTATAACAAAGTCCCCTGATCGTGTATAACAAAGGCCCCTCATCGAGTATAACAAAGTCCATTGGTCAAGTATAAAAAAGTCCCCTGGTCGAGTATAACAAAGTCCCCTGATCGCGTATAACAAAGTCCCCTGGTCGAGTATAGCAAAGTCCGATAATCAAGTATAACAAAGTCCCCTGATCGAATATAACATATCCCCTGATCGAGTATAACAAAGTCCTCTGGTCGAGTATAACAACGTCCCCAGATCGAGTATAATAAAGTCCCCTGGTCGAGTATAACAAAGTCCCCTGATCGAGTATAACAAAAGCCTCTCATCGAGTATAGCAAAGTCCATTGGTCAAATATAGGAAATTTCACTGATCGAGTATGACAAAGTCCCATGATTAATTATAAAAAAGTTCCCTGGTTCGAGTATAACAAAGTTCCCTGATCGAGTATAACAAAGTCCCCTGATCAAGTACAACAAAGGCCCCTCATTGAGTATAACAAAGTCCATTGTTCAAATATGAAAAAGTCCCCTGGTCGAGTCTAACAAAGTCCCCTGATCGAGTATAAGAAAGTCCTCTGGTCGAGTATAAACAAGTCCCCTGATCGAGTATAACAAACTCCCCTTCCTGAGTATAACAAAGTCCCCAGATCGAGTATAACAAAGGCCCCTCAGTGAGTATAATAAAGTCCATTGGTCAAGTATAAAAAAGTCCCCTGGTCGAGTATAACAAAGTCCCCTGATCGAGTATAACAAAGTCTCCTGATCGAGTATAACAAATGCCCCTGATCGAGTATAAGAAACGCCCCTCATCGAGTACAACAAAGTCCCCTGATCGAGTATAACAAAGCCGCCTAATTGAGTATAACAAAGGCGCCTGATCAAGTCCAAAAACTGCCCCTAATCGAGTATAACAAAGTCCCCTGATTTAGTATAACAAATTCCCCTAATCGAGTATAAGAAAGGCCCCTCATCGAGTACAACAAAGGCCCCTGGTCGAGTATAACAAAGTCCCTGATCGAGTATAACAAAAGTCCCCTAATCGAGTATAACAAAGTCCCCTGATCGAGAATAAAAAAGTCCGCTTAACCAGTATAACAATGTCCCCATATCGAGCATAACAACGTCCCCTGATCGAATATAATAAAGTCTCCTGCTCGAGTATAGCAAAGGGCCCTGATCGAGTAAGACAAAGTCCCCTGATCGATTATAACAAAGTCCCCTGATCGATTATAACAAAGTCCCTGAGCGTGTATAACAAAGGCCTCTGGTCGAGTATAACAAAGTCCCCTGGTCGAGCATAACAAAGTCCCCTGATACTAGTATAACAAAGTCCCCTGATCGAGTATAAAAATGTCGCCTGGCCCAGTATAACAAAGTCCCTTGATCGTGTATAACAAAGTCCCCAGATCGAGTATAACAAAGTCCCCAGATCGAGTATAACAAAGTCCAGTGATCCTACTATAACAAAGCCCCCTGGACGAGTATAACTAAGTCCCCAGATCGAGTATAACAAAGACCCTTGATCGAATATAACAAAGTCCCCTGGTCCAGTTTAACAAAGTCCCCTGATCGAGTATAACATATCCCCTGATCGAGTATAACAACGTCTCCTGGCCCAGTATAACAAAGTCCCCAGATCGAGCATAACAAAGTTCCCTGATCAATTACAACAAAGTCCCCTGGTCGAGTAAAACAAAGGGCCCTGATCGAGTAACACAAAGTCCCCTGAACCGAGTATAACAAAGTCCCATGATCGAGTATGACATATCCCCTAATCGAGTATGACAAAGTCCCTGGTGGAGTATAACAAAGTCCCCTAATCGAGTATAACAAAGTCCTCTGGTTGAGTATAACAAAGTCCCCTGATCGAGTATTACATATCTCGTGATCGAGTATAACAAAGTCCTCTGGTCGATTATAAAAAAGTCCCCTGATTGAGGATAACAAAGTCCCCTAATCGAGTATAACAAAGTTCATTGGTCAAATATAAAAAAGTCCCCTGGTCGAGTATAACAAAGTCCCCTGATCGAGTATAACAAAGTCCTCTGGTCGAGTATAAAAAAGTCCCCTGATCTAGTATAACAAATGCCCGTGATCGAGTATAACAAAGCCGCCTAATCGAGTATTTCAAAGTCCCCTGGTCGAGTATAACAAAGTCCCCTGTTCGAATCTAACAAAGTTGCCTTATTGAGTATAACAAAGTCCAGTGATCGAGTAAAACAAAGGCCCCTGGTCGAGTATAACAAAGTCCCTGATCGAGTATAACAAAAATCCCCTGATCGAGTATAACAAAGGCCCCTCATTGAGTATAACAAAGTCCATTGGTCAAGTATAGAAAAGTCCCCTGGTCGAGTATAACAAAGTCCCCTGATCGAGTATAACAAAGGCCTCTGGTCGAGTATAAAAAAGTCCCCTGATCGAGTATAACAAAGTCCCTTCTCGAGTATAACAAAGTCCTCAGATCGAGTATAACAAAGGCCCCACATCGAGTATAACAAAGTCCATTGGTCAAGTATAAAAAAGTCCCCTGGTCGAGTATAACAAAGTCCCTTGAACGAGTATAACAAAGTCCCCTGGTCGAGCATAACAAAGTCCCCTGATCTAGTATAACAAATGCCCGTGACCGAGTATAACAAAGCCGCCTAATCGAGTATTTCAAAGTCCCCTGGCCGAGTATAACAAAGTCCCCTGTTCGAATCTAACAAAGTCCCCTTATTGAGTATAACAAAGTCCAGTGATCGAGTATAACAAAGTCCAAGGGTCAAGTATAAAAAAGTCCCTGATCGAGTATAACAAAGTCCCCTGATCGAGTATAACAAAGGCCTCTGGTCGAGTATAAAAAAGTCCCCTGATCGAGTATAACAAATTCCCATTCTCGAGTATAACAAAGGCCCCTCATCGAGTATAACAAAGTCCATTGGTCAAGTATAAAAAAGTCCCCTGGTCGAGTATAACAAATTTCCCTGATCGAGTATAACAAAGTCCCCTGGTCGAGTATAGCAAAGTCCGCTGATCGGGTATAACAAAGTCCCCTGATCGAGTATAACATATCCACTGATCGAGTATAACAAAGTCCTCTGGTCGAGTATAAAAAAGTCCCCTAATCGAGTATAACAAAGGCCATTGGTCAAGTATAAAAAAAGTCCCCTGGTCGAGTATAACAATGTCCCCTGATCGAGTATAACAAAGTCCCCTGGTTGAGTATAGCAAAGTCCCCTCATCGGGTATAACAAAGCCTCCTGATCGAGTATAACATATCCCCTGATCGAGTATAACAAAGTACTCTGGTCGAGTA